GAGCTGAATATTGTCACCAAGGCATGCAGTAATTCCTGATTACAGAATTATCTCCTCAAGGCCACGGGGATGGATTCTTGAGGGTAGATTTTATCAGCATTCTGGAGACTTGGTTCCAACAGTAAATTCCTTAATACCTTTTATTTCTCAGCCCCACAAAATACTGTGTCAAAATCGCAGATGAGTAGAATCACAGAAAATATTCCCAGTAGAAAGTCTATTTTTTCTTACGTAGAATTGTTCATAAGTACTTACAGTTTATACAGTAATTCTAACGATCTACATGGGGTCTGCTTTTATAGAGTTTGATTTGACTGTACTTTTTGTTCTTTTTATTTCATTAAAAACAAATGTCATTGCCAAGTCATGTCAGCATGAACTCTATTACTCCTAGCCTTGTTTCAGGCTCCTGTATGCTTTTAACAAGCCACTTAGTATGTATGGCTGATTTCTTTTATAGATATGGTAAAATCTATGCTTTGCTGCTGCTTTCAGTTTAGTAACCAGGGAATGCACATCCAGCATACTGTAGCGCCATGCAGAGATACCTCTTGTTCAGTTTATTAAATTCTGCTGTTCCCTTAAGGTTAATTAATCCTGCCAAGTAGATACCCTCATGGGGCATGCTACTCTGAAGCAGGGGTGTTGCGTCAGTACAACTACGCTGGGTACTTTTATGTGGCTCTGTATTGTCTGTGCAGACATAGCTTTGGCAGCAAATTGTCATGACTTTCTGTGCCTTTTCTCCTGTGCTATTTACCACGGATCAAGTACTCAAAATGCTACAGGGAGCTCTAAGATACAGGGCTGCAATGTGCTAGTTTTCATCAACTGGAGACTGACTTCAGTAGGAATTAGGGAGGAACACTCAGCACCTTAAAAAAGGTTCTCAACGCTGCATAGCAGAATACATCCCCTTATCAGCTGCATTTTTTCAAAGAGGTATAAACAAATTGAAAAATGTTACAACCTTTCCTGCCTCCCAGTTTAATCCTTTCACGTTCCAATTTCTGGTTGCTGCCTGTGCATGTATATTTATTCACATTACACTTGGCAATTCCCATGTGAAAATTGTTCTGGGTTAGATGAATTTTCAAATATGCAATGAGTTTACATCTAAGTGCTTCTTTCTTAGCCTTGGAAAATATGTGTTTGTTATGGTAACAGCTATGTTGTGTTTGTCTCCAAATAGGGGAAAAAAGCCCTCTTTTCAGTCTGTGGGCAATTCTCTTTCCACAGATTTCCACAAATTAGGATTTTCTACACAAAACTGCTGTACTTTTAATCATACTCTGTCTTAAACTACAGAAATGTTGTGTTTGTGCAAATCCTAATTTAGAGCAATCTGCAGGCTGTTATAAGATTGATGGCTGTCCTGATTTTTTTTAGGTAATACTTTGCTTATATATGCTATTTCTTAAAATTGGAGATGGAGCTTTTAAGGTAATAATGCCTGTGGTTTAGTTTAATAATTTTCAATTAGTCTGTATCATGATGATATTTAAAAGACAGGTTTTCTCTAGAGTACAGAGCAAGAAGTCATACAGAAATAAAGCTCCTACATAGCGTGTGTTATTGCAAAAGTGATTTGATGTGTTAATCCAGTCAGTCCTTTTTCTACTGGCAATACAATATTCTTATATAAAAGGGGATTCATTCAGTAAACTTGTTCTTTATATTGCAGTATGTAAATATGGTCTGTTCATCTTGCAGACTCTACTGAGTTTATACTCGGAAAGGAGCCTGTTGACAATTCCTTGCTCTGTAATTGTCTGGTAACAAAGACCCTGTGAGAAATTGAGAAACTTCTAAGGGAACTCTACTGCCCTCTCCTGGAAACAAAACAATTAAAATGGTTCACAGGAAGCTTTACAGATGTAACGCGTTTTAATCTACAAGACGGTTGTTTGTTAGTATTTTAGCAGCACTAGTTCAAACACTTTGTCCCTAATATAGACAACAAACTACTTCAAATCTGACTTGATCACAGGCCATGTTTTAAATCTCTCTTTCATAGAAGATTTTTCTTGGGTGCAAAACTGTATATCATATCTCAATTATTGGGTGGTATGGAATTGTCTTTCAAAATTTTTTATACTTGAATGATTTAAAGGATTCTTGCTCATAAGACTGTGTGCATGTAATGTTAATTAGCATAGCCAGGAGTTTTGCAATCACAAATCGCACATCCATGTACTGTCAAAGTACGAGGCTTATTTTATAAATGACCAGAAGGTCTTGCAATCACCGCAGATTTCTGAAGTATGGCAGATGTAATAATTCTCATCATTAGAATCAGTAATTTGAAAAAGTATTTGGGTTGTGCTTTGTAGCCCAGTTATTTGTGTGTGTGAAAAAGGAAACTGATAACAAAAGCTTTGTGGAAAGACCTATGCTCCTAAACAAACAGACATGCTTTAGTTAGCACAACATGTATTGAAGTATTTATTTCTGGATTCAAATTTTAGAACAATGCTAAAAATAACACACTGAGAACAGTCTGGTTTATTTCCTTACAGTGCCTCTGAAGAGCTTTCAGAATTTTCCTGACTATTCTGTGCATAGTGGATACTGATTTTTGCACAGGGCTTTTCATTTCCTAATGCCTACAGTTAAAAGCAAATTTTGGTTTTACTATTAGAAACATGCTTAGGAAAGTGGCCACACTGAAGAAAAAAAAATCAGAAACATTATGGAAGAGAAGCACCAATCATGCAATTTGGTATTTCTAAAATATTTTTATACCATTTTTCCGTTTGTAGGCACCATTACCAGAACAAGAAGGACCATCTACTGGTACAGTGGGAACGTTCGAACTGATGAGCTCCAAAGACTTAGCACATCAGATGACAATTTATGACTGGGAGCTCTTCAACTGTGTGCATGAGGTATGAGGATCTATCTATTCAGCAGATCAGAATCTATTAGAAAACGTTGAGTTGTACATTGTAGGTTTGTGCATTATTTGCAAAACTTTCTCTAGGCTTGATTTTGAAAAATATTACAGTAAAGCCACCTATGAGTTTTGAAAGTATAAGGCATTCTTAATTTTATAGGCAAAATGCAAAAATAAAGTTAAACTTCTCCTGAACATCTACTGCTTATTGAGTTACTTTTGTATGTTTTAAAGTATTTATACATAGTCTGTAGTTATGTTTTTAGTATGCCTCGGCTATTGTCTACTGGATTTGCAACCTGAATCTTTGTCATCTGTACAGCAATAAATGTAAACTGCAGAGCAAGTTTCAAGCTAGATACTTACCTGGTTGTTCTTAGCCTCTTCCCTCTATCCAAAAGATGAGATTCCTAAAAAAAAACCCCAAACTGTTTTCTTTTTTTCTAGCTGGAATTGATCTATCACACTTTTGGAAGGCACAATTTTAAAAAGACCACAGCAAATCTGGACTTGTTTTTAAGAAGATTTAATGAAATTCAGTTCTGGGTGGTCACTGAGATTTGCCTTTGCTCTCAACTCAGCAAGCGTGTTCAGCTGTTAAAGAAGTATATTAAGATAGCAGCCCAGTAAGTATACAATCATCTGTGAGCTGGAAATGAGGTTCAGTATAGTCAATTTGTTGTTATTTTTCTTTTTTATTTTCAGACAGCCACACACAGTAGAGGTTAAAATGTTCTCTGTTTGGTAATTCTGTCCGTTTCCTTACAGGGCTGTATAGAACCTTGTTAATATATGTTCTTCTTTCCTGTCCTACTCTCCATTGGTCCTTGATCTGTGATCTCTTAGGGCCATGTTTTCACATAAAATTTGTGAGTAAATATATTTCAGTTCATTAGGAGAATCCTCCATTTAGCCTTATATGCATTAGCAAATATTAATATGCTAATTAGTAGATAATAACAAAACTGAGCCTTAATTTTCCTGAGAACAGAAGTATTTCTGGTGCTGTTCAGGAAAACAGTCCTCAGAATTGCCCCAAGTGGGAAAACCAAGAGAGGAGAGCAAGGAGATGTAGTATGGAGATGATGAGGCTCATGTTACCTTCAGTCCACTTGGTATGTTTTTCTAATACCTTCGTTTCAAAATGCATGTCCTTTTTTTTACTAACTGCTGGGTCTAAGGTTGGATAGCAGGCAATTCATGCTATCTTCTATTCTTTTATTCATATTAAAACTTAAACTCTTTGGAGCCTTTATGCCAAAGATGTCGGCCTTGATTCCTTATTGCTGAAGTCAAGGGCAAGGCTGTGACTGACTTCGGAGGGGGCAGGGGCATGCAGTTTTTTATCACTGCTACCTTCTTCCCTCCTTTACTCTTTGTGGTGTATTTATAACATCCGTTGCCATCTGAACAAACAGTTTGCTGAGCTGTGCAGTGAGGAGCTGCCTGTTTAAGTATTTGTCTGCAACTTTGGGCGCTGTGACTAGAGGCCTTTAGGCAGTCTTACTGAACAAAGAAGTCATTACCAGCAGTTAAAGCACGAGTTTTAACTTTTTTGCACCGTTAAATGTAGTTGTGTGAGGGAAGGGATTACTAATAAGATTACTGTTACAGCTGGGATGCCGCCCTCCTCCCAATTAATAATTCCACTTAGCTGAAATCAGTGTTCACATCGAAATTCTTCCTTTGGGAAGGGCACCCACTCTGCAGGTACCCGCTTCTTTCTGGGAGCTGCTTTGGGCCCTCTGGTCAGGTTACAGTTGGTCAAGGCTGAAGATTTTCAAAATCTAGTGGTGGGCATGCAGGATCAGGTTTATACTCAGAACAGAGGACAGGATTTACCTCTTCAGTTTCTAAAAATACCTATACCGCATATTCCATTATCTCATTCTGCAGAGGAATACTGGGAAGCCAGCCGCCCGTCTGGCGGGCTGTGCCCAGGAGAGGGCAGTGGCACCCACGCGCCGAGGCGTCGGGGTCTTTTCTAAACTCAGAGGCATGAAATGGGAAAATGTTGAAATGTGGTAAATTAAGATACAATAGTAATTTCCATAAACACTTGAAATCAAGTATGCTAAAAATTGCAGTTAAATATCTCCCTAATAAACGGCCCTAGTCCGTGGGCTCCCCAGTGCCATGGCTTTAATCCTGTGCTATTTACAACAGCTTGACAACCTCCTGTTTACTCCCATGTTTCTGGTATCACTACAATGCTAAAAATAAATAGCTAAAAGCGGTCTGCTCTGCCGAGTCCTCTTTGTCTGCTCAAAGCAGAGAAATCCGCAGCACAGGATTTTCCGCCGTACAGCCCGAGCCGGGCAGGTTTAATTGCAGCCGCTGGAAAGGCGCTGGGAAGTTTTGCCAGGCTGCTGCCCTCTGCGCGGTGCTGCCATGGTAACAGGTGCGACGGCGTGCGCTAAAACAAACACAAAGTGCACCGAAGTTAGAGGGGAGAAAAAGCCAAGGAATTGGATCAAAAGATGCAGGCCCAGGCCTTGAAGCAGTATCTTTGAGGAAGTTTTGCTTGTGAAGATCCTTGAGACCTAATGAGAACTTTACCCTACCTAGAAGTACTAGACTCATTAGAAAAGTGTTCGGGGAGAACAGCTCAGTGCTGCACTATTAATCTTAGGCATGACTGGAGGTAACGAGATGGCTTGCACGTACCGATTTTCAAAGGTAATGGTTACTGAGAACCCCGTTTCAATTCTGTGCTGGGGGGGGGGCTCAGGCACCCTCGCAGAAGGCACATCATTTTGTGTCTGCCATCCCATGCACCCTGTGATGTGTGCTCCCTCTCTGCGCGGGCAAGCGCAAGGCCAAGTGCTGGCTCCAAGTGCTGTGCACATGTGCTTCCAGTTCCAGGAGCCGTGGTTGCCTTTGCATCTGCCGGAAAAGGATGTAGAGGTTACCAGGTTCATCTCTTTTCTCCAGCCATTGTAGGATTAAATTTTCAAACAAAGGGGAGAAGCAAACTATATTTCCTACAGTGAGTTCTTCCCATATTAATTGTATTAGAAAGGCCTTCTAGGATGTACTTGCGCATACTCTTATGGATATCCACAAACCCAGTTTGTATATATTTCCTCTTTGCAGATATACCCACGGGCTATTTAGAAGCCTTCTTCTGTATCACTATACTCAGACACTTTCATTCAGTTTTTGAAAATCATTCTTTCCATACACATGCATATGTTATAAGCGCAAGGATCCCGTAAGAAATTTTTGAAGGGTGTGTGTTTACAGGGAAAATGCCAAGATGAATATGCTCGTGTAAGTATCGAGAGATTTTAACCACGTGTGTGTGTGTGTGTGTGAGAGACAAGAGTGTATGCATATGTGTGTGTGCACAGTTCGTACTAACAGGAAGATTTTTCCAATACAGTGTGTTTGGGGAGGCAGAGGGACCTCTGCTTCGAGCACAGTGTGGTGCTTTGGAGGATCCACTTTCTGACATTTTAGAGGCAGTGTATATGCAGTGGAGCCACGCAGCACTGTTTTTCTTTCCTTACAGTGGTCCTTTATCTGGAACTGAGCTATTTAGTGTAGAGCCTGTAGAATTTACAGAATATTTGGCGTGGAATGTCATACATCTAGATGGATTTTAACAGCGACTTTGTCAAATTACATTGCTCAACAGGGTATTTGGCAAAACTTTTCCTTTTTAAAATGAAAGATAGATTCAAATTACATATTGCAGATACATTGGCAGCTGCCTACTATGTTTGAGCACTACTGCTGTGTGGTAGTAATTATTTTTACCGTGCCACAATTTATTTTCAATGTCACAGGCTGTGGACAGATATCCCTTTCTGGATTTAGTTGTGCCTGGGGAAGAGGTTATCACTGGCAGCCTAGCCTGGCTGCTTTTCATCCTTATCTCCCCTCAGATCCACTAATGAGGCACTCCCTGACCTGCTCTAGTCAGAATAAGTTGGGGTAGCTTTAGCATTTCAGCTTATCTTTGCTAACCTCGCTCAATGTCCCTAATCTGATGTGGGAGAATTTGTATGAGCAGCTCTGCTAGAAGATCTGAGGGGGCAGCAGTCTCCAACAGACCGACCATCAGATGGAAGAGATTGTTTTTTCACGAGCACAGTGTTCACACAGTGCAGACACAAGCAAGGACCAGATCTAAAGGACTCACCTGCTCAATACATCGAGTCTGGTGAAATGGAGGGACAGAAAGAACAGAGTAACAATAGGGTGATGTGGCAATTATGGAGTCGGACAGTAGGATGTGATGATTGTACTAATTTCGTCTGGAGCTGAGGATACCTTGGAAGAGCTAAGAGCTTCAGCGATGAATAAAAAAATCAGTTTGAGAATCATAGCTTGAATGTTGTGAAAATTTTATAGGTAAATGCAAAAGAAGCAGAGACGCGGGTGCTGAAATCAGATGTTGGCAAATCAGTTGTGAAAAATAACAAATTATTTGCAGGAGCCTAGTGAGACCCAGATTTATGAGATACAGGCTTTGTTAGCCACCTGATGCAGTCCCAGCTGAGCAGTTGTGTGGGCTGTTCCTGTCAGATTGTGTCTACTCCTGCATGTGGTGTATTGGATCTTCCATAATACTCAGTTACGTGTTCCAGTTTTTTCCAACTGGTAACAGAAGTTCTCCTTTGCATTAGGGATGAAGCGTGACCTAGAGCTCCTAGCACCCAGGACCTCTTTAATGATGCTGGTAACAAATGGCAGTTCTTTGCTTGAAACATCCTGAAGAGTTCCAGAATCTACAAGTACTAGTTAGAAATCATATACAGTGAGAGAGGTCACAGGCATATCTAGACAGCTGGTCTTCTCCCTTTAAAAAGACTCAGTGCCCCTGTAAACTGCGATGAAGATCATCTAGGGACAGCTTCCAGCATTCAGTAGCTGTTCAGAAGCTGTCAGCAAGTTCTGCAGCAAATGAGGTTGTAAGCCAGTTGCTTCTTCCACTGTTTCTGGTATTCCCTGGGACTGAATCGAGCCCAGTTTCAGGACTGAGTTTCTGGGTAGAAAGGAGCTTCAAAGACTCCTTTAATGTCCCAGTGAAGTGGAAGCAGGAGGTCATTTTAGGAGGGAGGGGAAAGGAGCCTCCAGAGTGTGGTGAATTACTCACACATTGGTGAAGTGGTGTACCAAGGGTGTACTGGCCAGGGCTGCCCAAATTCAGTCACACCTCTGCTAGGTGCTTGGGTTCAGCTCTCTTAACGTTGTCATGTGTACTTCTGCCCTGACTGATACATACAACTTAAAACCTGGCCCTTTGTGTTTCAGCTGTAAAGAATACAAAAATCTGAATTCCTTTTTCGCTATTATTATGGGACTGAGTAATGTTGCTGTGAGCCGTCTCTCATTAACATGGGAGGTAAGTCTTAGCTAAAATCCAATTCCAATAAGTTTGACTGGCATTTGTGCTTTTAGTTAGCAAAAACATGACTTGGGCCTTTATTATTGATAAAATTAGATTTGCAAATTCAGCTCCTGAGCATAAGCCTTTAGCTAAGGCTGACAATTTTTATTAGTGAGGCAGTGTACCCATAGATGTGTTGGATACTCAACGGCCGTTAACAAGAGTGACAACAGCAGCTTCTATTGATGAGCCACACTGCCCAACAGGATGAGCGAGTTAGCCAGTTAACCTCTTGCATCAGCCTGTCCTCTGTTTGACTTTACTGATCATTTAGTGAGGTCACTCCATAGATACTTCTCTAAAATCCATCCTCTGTTTATACATACTATTTTCTGATCTCCATATGGACTCTGTTGCCCTATTAAAATGCGGGTTTGTCCTAACCAGTTCTGGTTTTCTCTCTGACATGCATTACTGTCAGTTTGGTCTGCATTCTTGGAGCTTCCACCTTTTTCTGTGGCTTTGCTCTTTTGTATGTGAGTATACAAAAAGGGTGCGATGATGTCCAGCAGGGTGAGGTAGTAGGCACATGTAACTGCTAAGAATATACTGGTTGTCAAAAGCAGTGCAGATTTGAATGTGCATGTATTTTGTTCATTAGAAATTCAAAATAGTTAGCATGACTGAGGTCATTGATGCACCCAAGACCAAAATTTGAACACCTTTAAAAAAGTGCTCTGGAATAGGAGATCAGACTAACATATTTGAGAAGACACCAGCCCAGTTTTCAAAAGTACACGTTGCAAGTGACATATGCAATCAGTGCTAATGGCAACGATTTGCAGGTCAGTTTCTCAAAATAACGACCCTTCATTTGTGGCTACTGAGAGGAATAGTTGGGAGAGCTGAGGCAGTACAGGAGTAGTATGAAGAGAGAAGAGGGAATTGAATGTGTATACTACATACAGCAATCTGAAATCGGCACAGGGTCTGTGAGCTGGAGGGGCACAGGTTGTTTGTAGGTGTGGGGTATGAAGTTTTGTTCAGGGAAATGTTATCACGCTCTGGTTCTGTAGGGCAGTCAGTTTACCAAGAGAATCTCTGCAGCTTGATTTTTAGCCATATATATATACAGAATATAGTTAAAACCAAACATATCAAGACCTGATTTTTTTATCATGCATTTACATTAGTTGCATGCACAAATTAGATATTTGCAGGTGCAAATGTCCAATTATACCACTTATTTCACAAATACCTAATCTGCATGCATATGCAAACTAGGCACACAGTTGTTGACACACATCATTAAAAATTAGGCCCTTGCTGTGGCACAGTGTAAATACCTTGCTAGGGTACACACTCCAAATGTAGAAAGTATTGCAAAAAATAATTTCTGCACTACAAAGTCTCTATTAATTTTTAATGTTACCTGCTGCCAGTAGTAGCCTGATTTATTCAGCAAATATAGTGAAATTTCATATTAAAACTAGGAAGCTGACGTATTTTGAGTGTGCATAAAACATTACTGTGATCTCTGAAACTAATTTATAACATATCTTTTCGTATTTATAGCAAAATTATTTAACATGTATATGACATGAGAGTGAAAGAAAATATTTAGTAAAGCCCATCTGATCCCAATCACTGCGTGATGAACTGACCATGATTTATCAGTGTGGGTATTGTGGACTGAAAAACTATTCATTAATTTATACCCCAGAAAGCAGTAGAGGCCCTTGGCTGCTGGGCATGTCAAGAATTTGAGCAATAGTTGGTGATACATCAGCATGAACAAAAAAACCACCTGGAAATGCCCAGGCATGGATTTGAATTTGCAAGGGCAGTTCATGAAAGGTATGAATAATTAAGCTGAGCGACCCCTATGCAAGCTGTGTGTAAATTATATTTTCAGGTAGGCTATAATCAGGAATGTCCTGAAACCATTGACTGGAACTTTCACTTACATTCCGAATTTAGTGATTGCGATGTAAGCCAAACAAAAATCTGAATCCAAACATCCCAAAGGAGTAAATTCAAGTTGAGGTTTAAATCAGGATCCAGGTTTCATAGCTGGTCCCGTCTCTATTTATAATCTGGTTGCTAGGAAACATGTTGTATTTTAGATTAGCACATTGTTAGAAATATCTGGCAAAAAAGAGCACTTTCCTGACTTAGGGCGTTGTAGAAGGAACTAGCATTTACAGTAAAATTGCCACACAAATTGGATTTAATTAAGGTTTGCTATTTTTGTTTTTATTAACAGAAACTTCCAAGCAAGTTCAAGAAGATCTATGCAGAGTTTGAAAGCTTAATGGTGAATAGCAATAGATCCCTTATTCTATGCACAATCTGAGCTAATTCAGTTTCTGAGTAACTGATTTGAATTCCTTGATTCAGAACATTTTATATGTCCTTGTTTGACTTTAAGAAGTTTATGATCCCATTTTAGAGCTGCTAAAACAAGTATGTATGACTAATAAATTATACTCTTAGGGACCTACTCTGAGAGAACTTATGTACCACTCAAAGTTAATCTGGGAACTCGGAAAAGCTTTATCACGTGTTTTCTGATAGTACATATGGGAAATTATATTTTCCAACCTGGATTTTTCCAGGCAATACATTTTAGTGTTACAACATATGCAAAACTGGATCTGCAGCTGCAAAGAGGGAGGATGAATGTGTGGTTCCTCTTACGAACAATTTTTTTGTAATCATATCTTACCTTGCTATTTGGCATGAAAAATGTTTGTGTTTAGCGGCTGCATTCTCATCATGTAAGCTGTATGGGAGAATGATAAAAGGCGTCTTAGTTTGCAGATGCACTTTTAAAGCCACAGGAGAAAATAATGATTTTAATAAATGCCATGACATCTAAATGAATGCATACAGTGTCTCAATACATATAATAATACATATTAGTAATTATTTGATTTCTCTTTTCTTCTTAAGGATCCATCAAGAAACCATAGGGCCTACAGACTAACTGTAGCTAAATTGGACCCTCCAATAATTCCTTTCATGCCACTACTTATAAAAGGTAAGCTTGGATGTTACCAGAATTATTAACTTGAAAGCTATTTGTCAAATATTTGAAGAATAAGAGCAGCAGCAAGAAAAAGCAAAAATCAATCTCAGTGTGAGGTATGATCTTTTTCTATTATAAAAAGCATGACACAGAGACAAGAAAAACTGCTTTAGTACATCTGAATATCATACCTCAATTTTACTAGTCTCAGAAATGCTGCAAATTAAAAACTAAATGTTTTATAGCTGCTTTGATTTTTGTAATGGATATATAAAATGTTCTGCTGGTTTGTAGGGCCGTGATTCAATAATGGGCTTTTATGTGGCTTTTATTTCTATACAGACATGACGTTTACTCACGAGGGAAACAAGACATTCACTGACAATCTAGTAAACTTCGAAAAAATGGTACGTATGAAATATTTGAAATGAAAATTTAAAAAGACCTCCTTATTCATCTCTTCAAGAGCGAACTTCTCAACAATGACTTCCATGGCTAGAGAAAGTGAAGGCAGGACCAAGAGCTGGCAAAAATAGTCTGTATTGTGCACAGCACCTGGGACCTCTGGATTTCTGGAAAACCTCACAGAGGTGGAAAAGAAACTGCCCATTGAGCCATGCACAGCCAAAATGTTTCCCAGGAGAGGCAGCAGTAGTGACAGGAAATAGAGCTGTTAGAGACAATTTTTAACAGCCAGTTTGGGACCAAGTTGTGATTTTAACTGCTGTTCCTTCAAACAGGACTGAACTGCCTCAGGCTGGGATAGTTCTGCATTGCTCCTCAGAGAATGAAAGGAGCTTTAATACAGAACGTGCACAACATCTTATTTTCTTCTTTCATTTAACAGGTGAAAGGAGACTTCTGTGAGTTGATTGCTTTCATATTGGAAAGGGGGATCAATGATAGAAGGCTAGATTATGCTCACATTTGGTTTATGAGCACCTAAGCTCTCATCATTTCAAACACCTTTGTCAAAAAGCTGCAGGCAGGCACGTTCCCATGGCAGAAATCTCAACTGAAACTCAAGTTTCTCAGCAGTGAGAAGCTATTTTCTTGGTTGCTAAGGCCATGTTCTTAATTAATGTGGTTAATGACACCTACATCTGAGAACCAGTTAGCCAAGCCCAGCTATGAGCAGCTGCACTGCAAAACCGAACCTGACTTACTGTTCTGGCAGTGAAGCACCATTCAGCAGCCATGCTAGAGCATATCTATGCTGGCACCTATATCTGCTTGTTCTTAGTACTACAGTAACCGGAACCACTCCGTGGTTATTTCCACTGCACTACAGAGGAGCTTGTCTTACCTACTGAGCACTGATACCACAAAGAGGAAAAAGGAGGACTTTCAACCCTTTAGAAAAATTCACAGAAAAGTCATCATCACACTGAGTGATTTCTTCTCTTAGATTTCAGTCTGTAGCTCCAGGACAGCCTTTGTCCTAGGGCAAAAATACCTCTCAACTAAGCTGAGACTTTTTCTGTGGGTAAACGGTAGTGCTAGTGCCTGAGTAAGGGCCTGACCTCACTTTGCAATAATGACATTCTGTAATTGCAGACGCAGACTGTGTTGCCATCTCCTTCCGAAGGCCTTGAGCCTTCTACCTGCAGAAAGGGACTTTTTCCTGGACTGCCTGTTTAATTAGATGCATAAATGTATATATTTTAGTGTAGATAGTAAATATTTTGGGGAACACAAAGAGATTTCAGACTTGGCTGGAGCGCCTCCAAACCAGGAGGGATGGCAGCTGCATTGCTATAGCCATGGCTATGTGGCTGGCTCCATGTTCTCCACCTCACTTGGCCTACTTAACACCTCCTGAGCCAGAAGAGCCGGTATATCCGCAGGCCTCAGAGCTGTATGCCTTAGGCTCTTCTTTGTGCCTGATTATGTGTAAAAGCTATTGCAGGAGGCAGGAGCTCTCCTGTGAGCACTTACCCATAGACAAAAGTTCAACCCAGGCTTGTCATTTAGAAATGGTTGTGCACCACTTTATACCACCGTTTGGCACTCCCAAGACCAAGAATGAATTTTATAGCAGCTTAAACTGATCTACCTCTAGGCTGCTGCAGGTCTGCCCTTTTTACCCTAGTCTGCACATTGCCTTACCTTCAGAAGTATGTTGACTCCAGAACATGGATTTACCAGCAGCACCCAAAAGTTTTAAATAAAATTTTATACTGCATGAAGGTAGTATCACCCATTTTGATCAGTACTCAGAGCTTTGAGCATTTCCTTTAGGAGGGGAAAGTGAAGATCAATTAATGTATTTTTGATGCTATATATTTTTCAAAGATTTGATATAACGTCAGGTGTTCCTCCACACAATGGAAAGGGAAACATTCTCCTTTCTCAGTATTCTAAACTTTTCTTCAGTTAGTGCTCTATCTAAAAGCTCACTCCACTTTTTCTCCAGGCCTTACTACAAGTATATCTTTGTGGTTTTAATCTTCTTCACTGGCTATTCTGCATGCTTCTATGGTGTTTTTACTGCTTCTCTCAACCCATAGCTCTTCAAAGCAACATGTATTCAGATTCCACCCACATAATTCATTCAAATCCTAATGTGGACCTGGCAGTTTTTAGCTTTTTGCATGTGTCATCAGGTCAAGCAAAGAAGAAAAGCCTCCTGTTAAACCTCAGTCGCTACCGCCTACTTGCGTTAAGCTCGCAACTATCATATCCACACATAATTAATTGCCAGATATTAACTAGTGAAGACAAGACCACTCAGCCAGGCAACTCTCAGATAAATTCAGCTCTCTTTTACATAAGTATAGACTTAAGGTAAATCTCTGATGTTATTCTGCCATTTTCAGGAAAATAGCAGAAACCAGATTTCCTCACAGGAATCATGCCTTGCCATTTATTGTTTCTGCCTGTTTGTTCTGCTGCGTGACGTTCTGTCACAAGCAGATGGAGATACCTCTGAATATTGCTGGGAGCCACTCTTACTAATCTGTCTATAACATCTTTGTTCTTTGGAAAATTATTTCCCTTGATCCATCCTAACTTTGATGCTTGCTGAAGTTTATGAATAAAAATATCTGGGTAGTTGCCACTGGTGGTGCCATTTGCCATCGGAGGAGGTGGGACCCTCTGACTCTCGTGTAAGCACAGTGATGAAACCAAGAACAGCCTCTGGCATCGTGTCTGCATTCTCACCGCAGAGCTCTGATCCTGACAGCTGATGTGCTGCTGACAACTTTATTCCTGTAACTGGCAGCCAAAAGTAGAAGTTTGATCTCGTGGCATCTCTTCAGCTGAAACAGCTTCCTTTAAATCTTTTATGTTTTCTGATGTTCCTGTTATTATTTATATTAAACGATGCATCTTAAAACACGCAGGAGCTGTCAGACAGTGTCTAAGCCAGGAGTTCCCCGAGTGCCAGAAACAGCAAGGCCTGGTTTCCTAAATGTTTGTGTTTCATGGCTGCCTGAGCTCTGCTCAGAGCTTTCCTCGTGGCTGGGGCATGTGTGGTTTCTTCATGGCTGGGGAATTCTGTGTGAATAGGCTTTTGTCATAACATAGGAACTTGCACTACAGCCTTTTCCCTGAAGGAGACAGGAGAAGAGGGCTCTTACACAATCTTTCTCTTGTCCAGAGCCATCTATTTTCACAGAAAATTCATAGGAGCTTTCTTATGTTTGAAAACCCTGGGTTCTTTTTTCAAATCTGACAAAATTATCTAGAGGAGAAGGGAAAAACAGACAGATGGTGTTAAACCACATTAGCCTAGTTTTTTTTTTAGCAAATCAAGCTAAAAAGGAAAGGGACTGAGTCAATTTTTTTCTGCTACACTTCCCTATAAATCGGTCTTTTCAGAGGTGTAGTGACAGAACTGTGGTATTGGCAGTACTGGGGGGACATCACTCTGCAGAACATTGCTGAGCTTTACCTCCTGCTGCCTTTGCAACTGCCTGCTTCTTCTTCCCCTTCCACATCTCCTGATCCCCATGGATGCCTCTTATTTGGAGGAGGCGGTGAGGAGTGGGAGGGCAGGGACAGCTAGCCAGGGCAGAGAATACCATGTGTGGCAGAGACACAGTTATGTGTAAAGAGGGAAGCTTGTGAGTGGACCCACTTAGTTTGTACAAGATGTGGGGAAAAAATATTGAATGTGTCAGAAATAGGTATACATTTTATATTTGCACTGTACTTGTGCTCTTAGTGTGCCATTTATTGCGTGAAGTGAGGAAGGGAGGATGGAGGAAACAAGCATTTGGCCTTAAAATCCACCCTGGAACATGTTATTTATAGTTTTGTCAATAAGCAGACAGAATAACTAAATTACTGTCATTAGTGGTATAAGTCTTCAGTAAAAGGCTTTGTCTTCAATACCAAACAAGACATGGTTTTAGAGAAATATCACAGGTCTTTCACTTACCTCGCTGTAAGAAGCTGATGGAGATAAGGTGCAAGCTGTTTCCACCATGGTGTTGCTCAGATGTGCCTTCTGGGTTGGCATATACTCCACAACCTTGTGTGATAAAAACTACCTGCATCTCTTCTCCACTAGTGAGTTGCCAGTAGATGTTATTTGTAAGTGTTGCTTTAGAAGACCTATCTATGTAAAAACTGAAGGCATACTTGTCACCGAGAAACAAGGCATGAACAGACTTGTAAAGTTTTTAAAATGCTGCAGTTGTAGTTTGGTGGGTTGAGGACATTTTGAGAACTGCAAGTAGGTGAAAGATAAAAAAATGGCATTAGACAGCAAACCCAATTAGTTTCTGATCTAGAATACACATTTATCTTTTAGGTCCATTAATGACCCTCTTTTCAGGTGAAGGAGAGCCCCCAAAACTGTCAGTAATATTAGTTCCTATAAACTCTATGATTTAGCAGATACAGGACAACCTACAACCTGCAGCGCAGTACATGGCAATATATAACATTCAAGTGACACTGCTTTTATAGCTATATATTTAGAAAAAAATCTAAAAGCCGTTTCCTAGAATTATGTCTTGCCGGGGAAAGAAGAGAGAGGGGAGTGAGGGAAGTACTGAGCATGACTCTCCTTAAGGACAGGCAATATTTCATACTCTTGACCACTTATGGTTTCTGATTTTTTCAAAACTCAGCTGCATAATCTTGCACTCTGACTGCCAGTAAAGAATTTTGTATTCATAGACAGAGGGAAGACACAATTATTTGGGAACTTTTTCAGTGCCATTTCTCAAATCATCAGACAACCTGAACAAAGATCACTTTCCATGGCCCTGTCTCCATGTCATGCTACCCAGCATGTCTCAGAAATGGCACCTGTAGAGGGAGGAGAAGTCACGAAAGAGCTCTGAAACTGCTGACCTGCCAAGGCAGCACAAGACAGTGCCATGATGCTGGCCACTGATGCTTCTTTTTGTCAAGCCTCTTCACCCTTCAGGTGTGAAATGAGGATTAGAGAATCTGTGCATATTGGTTTTCGGGTTTTGTGGAGATGAACAAAAGGGAATTCACACTCTGATCCTTATGCAAAAAAGGGACAAACATTCTTTCATTTTTGGAACATAAAGATTATGCAAAAAGTGTGTGACTAAAGCCCTTAGTAGTTTTCTATGGCATATATGAATATTTATAACACTTAGAAACCTGGGTTTGGAATGGATTAGAAGATAATGTGCTGGCCTGCTGCCACTATTCCAGACTGCGTAAAACTTGAAAGGGTATTGTTGTGTATATATAGCATGCTGGTAGTAGCGGTTGCTTGTTATATTATGCAGTTGGTTCTGTTTCAGAAAGATCCAAATTTAGGTCTGTGTGGCTTTTCAATAATGGTCTTTCTTAGCACAGTGAGTAAACAGAGGTTAATTTTTGCAGGCATTAACCAGAGGTAATCCTCTATTTGAAGAAAGATTGTAAGGAGCTGGCAATTAAACTTCCATGTGAACATTTTCTTTGTACTTGTTTCTAGTTTTCTTGAATCAAAAGAAGACAATCCAACTTATCTACAAGATTCAGGAAGGGAAATTCACTTTCACTTCACATGTTGTTTTTTGTTCAATTTGCACCTTCCAAAGAGGAGGTCTTTTGAGTTTATATTAGACAGCACAACAGCACTTGGAAAAAAGCAATGTGAAAGGAGCTCTTCAAGGATATATAATGCTCCAGAATCTCCCCATTGGGTTGCAATGCTGTCTTCTGGCCACAGTTTCTCTGTTTATTCTGCCTTAACACCCACTTCCTCATTCCTTCATCACTGCCAGGTGTCGTGGTTTAACCCCAGCCAGCAACTACACACCACAAAGCCGCTCACTCGCTGCCCCCCCGGTGGGATGGGGGAGAGAATCAGAAGAGTAAAAGTGAGAAAACTCGTGGGTTGGGCTAAAGACGGTTTAATAGGTGAAGCAAAAGCTGTGCACACAAGCAAACCAAAACAAGGAATTCATTCACTGCTTCCCATGGGCAGGCAGGTGTGCAGCCATCTCCAGGAAAGCAAGGCTCCATCACGCCTAATGGTTACTTGGGAAGACAAATGCCATCACTCTGAATGTATATATGCTGAGCATGATGTCATATGGTCTGGAATATCCCTTCGGTCAGTTGGGGTCAGGTGTCCCGGCTGTGCCCCCTCCCAACTCCTTGTACACTCCTTGTATGCTGGTGGGGTGGGGTGAGAAGCAGAAAAGGCCCTGATGCTGTGTAAGCACTGCCCAGCAGTAAGGAAAACATCCTTGTGTTGTCAATGCTGTTTCCAGCACAAATCCAGAACATAGCCCCACAGTAGTTGCTATGAAGAAAATTAACTCTATCCCAGCCAAAACCAGCACACCAGGATAGTTCTGAGTGCACAGGCTGAATGAGATTATCCTCGGAAATAAGCAAAGTAACTCCTTAAAATGAAGCCTTTCAGCCAACTGGAGGGAGCCAGGCAGTTCAGCCTTCAACCAGCAGTCAGACAAATTCATTGCCACTTCGGTTTTCCTTGCCTGGAATAGCCCATATAATGAGAAATTTGGCAATTGTGGAAACTTTTTAAAAACCTTTGCTACGCACACCATTTGTCTTTCAGTATACTACAGCATTACAGTACTTAACTCTGAATGCTATGCTTTTTCTCAGAACAAATTCCCCATGTAAAGAAAAAGAGTAAAATGATTCCACAGAACACACTTTTTTTGATAAATCTAAGTCCTCACCTAAGAAGCTTAATACTAAACTAATCAAACACCGAGCCTACAGTCTAGCTCCAAAGATCATTATGAAATGAGGCTTCAAAACCAAACATTTACAGGTATGAAAAATTAGGGTGTGTATTAACGATCCTTCTAGAAAGCACATCAAGCAGCACTAGCTATCTTCATAAAAACGAAACGTACTTAGCAAAGCTTCCCTTGAAGTTAGGCGCTCTGAAACTTCAGGTTGTCTGGTGCAGTTCAACTTTACAGCCTCCCCTTGAAATAGTTATTTTAGGGGAGTAATTTTTGAAATGGTACAAATCAAAATAGCAGCATCACAGAGACAAATATGAATCCATAGAGTTATGAAACATTTGTGTTTACATGTTCATGTTGTTTTGATTTTCATTTGATTGGGTTAGACTTGAAGAACCGACTCTGTAATACACAGTGCGTTCTGTCTCAATCCAGTATTATAATGGGTGCTTATCTTTGAGTATTTAAGAGGTTCCATTGAAGTCAACCGGGCTTCACATGCTTAATTAACATGCTTAATGCTAAGCACATATGCTAAGTGCATATGAGAATGTTTGCAAGGTAAGTGCCTTAGAAAATCTGCCTAGTAGTAATGGCTTGAAGGGGTATGAAAATGAACACAGGATAAAAGTGATTCTTACTTGAAATTACTTATTTTTCACATGTAAATACATATGACTTTAGGAACAATATTTAGGATCCATATCCAAATTCCCTAGGTCTTTTGGGAACTTGTGTTTTAGAATCAAAATATTTAGGTCAGTTTCAGAATAGCTACGTTTAATTTGATTATGCAATGTGTAATCCACAAAAATGTAGTACATGATATATCAGTAGTGTTTCTAATGCTGACCACCAGCCATACCCATTTTTGTGCGCCTGCCAGTGCATTAAAATGTCTAAGATTATTCAGTACGTGTGTCAGGAATGCTTTCCATTGGTGCTTCCCTACTTCTGGAATGACAGATTTCACAAAGGTATTTTATTTATAACATCATTTTCATGTAAGATTACAACTGTGTATAAATTTTGAGGAGCGTATGCCCTAGGTTTTACAGTTTACTAGTAAGAAATACATAATTCCATTGTGTGAGGGCTTCTGACTCGCTTGTTAGTCTCACACAAAATTTCAAGAAGGTCCGAAGCAGCCTGGGGGGGAGTGTGCTGTGTTAAAACATGTAGCCGCGTGGTAATTGTTGGGCCGTGTTAAAGTGCCGGAACAAATGTTAGAGACTTGGTTAGGAATAGCATTTCCCTCCTCTGCTTTCTCTTAATCTGAGCAAAAGAAACTGAAACAAATGTTGGCCTTATAACAGTGATTGAATCAAACTACCTAACTAAGGAAATCAGTTTTACTGCTGAACTTCAGTTTTTTTATTTTGTTTATATTATGCAGAACAACTAATTTTGCCCCCACAGGGGTGGGTATATTACCTGTGTGGTGCTAATCACACAAGCCATTTAAAACTTTGCAGTCCAGAACTAAATCTGAAGTGTTTTGCTTTATTGCTTACCTTCATTTCTGTTCTTAAAAACTATTGTAACATAGCAGCAGAGCAAAATGCATTGATTAATATTTTCTTACCTAAGTGAGTGAAATGATGGCTTATTTACTGAAGAGCGAGCGCAGCCAAGGAGGACTGAAATGACTAATGCTTTTTTTGTGAATTGCCAGAAGTGTCCACCAAAAGTGAATGCACTCTCCACATTGGGTTAGATGCACTTGTGCAAGCTAACACTGACAGGTCTGTCTGATGAAACTTGCTTACGGGGCCACAGTTCTAACGGTGGCCACCTCACCTGTGAATCGAACACACTGCAGAGGGAATCGGTGAACACACACCCTCACAGGCTCATTTGATGCTGTAATTTTCCAGGCGGGCTGCATTTTAAACTCATATGAAAGGTGAAAGCTCTTTAAGTGCCAAGTATGTGCTAGAAATGGCCTTGCTGTTAGGAACTGATGGTCTTAAAATTAACATGTTTACAGGCTCCAAGGTGTCTGTACATGATACTCCTTCTACTTTTTAATGTGGGAAGATGTTATCGAAGAAATGCACGTTGAAGGGGCTAATGTTCATTCTTAGTTAAGGCTTTTTACAGCATCCAAACAAGGGAATGGGTTCTCTGAGTGCATGTAAATTACACTCATGCTCATTTAAAGCCTGTGTAAATGCAAATCACACCCTACATATGAGGGTATCAGCATTAAAATTATATTTTCATTCATATGACTGCTTTTATTGGCATATGTCTTCACTCTCAGGCACAGTTAGGTGCTTCGTTTAAATGATGATGAAATACAGTGCTTGTTCTCTGATTGCATCCCATCTTTTCTTTCCAGCGCATGATTGCCAACACTGTCAGGACGGTGAAATTCTGCCGAAGCCAATCTTTCAGTAAGTGTATTGCAACATCTGCACAGTCAGCGTTACCATCAGTAGCTACAGTAATTACAACTAATTCTGTGTGTACCAGAACTGAAAAGGCTGGCTTCCAGTGATTCTTCCATGTTTTGATCCTCTGATTTTTCACAGGGTGAAATATCCTTCAGGAAGCCCTAATAAGCCCCTTCTCCTCCTGTCTTTTCCAAGCATGTGAAGGAGCTAAATATTTGTGAGGTCTCTACACATGTGTCAGTTTAGAGCCAGTTGTAATTAGTCACTGGATTCAGAAGTGGTTGAAATAAGGCTAGCAGGCAGCAGCACACAGATACATGCAAGATATTTGCTTGGATAAACCCTGTTTCTATAGGAAACCAGTCCAGAAACATGATGTTTATAAATGGCATAACTGCATAAGGTGATGAACTTAAAACCTGTTTGTCAGTGTAATTACCAGACCTTACTTGAGGCCATGTAGGATGACCGAGCTGTACAGTCAAACAGGCTTTCTCTGTGGGTCTCATCCCATCTAGGTGCCCTCCCAGTCCCAGTCACACTGGCATTTCCTCAGCGCTTCATTTGTTTTGCCTCACAGCAGCCTTCCTCCTTCTCAAAAAACAGAATAAATAATACAATACATTTTTATAAAAATAGTTTCTTTCCCTCTGGGTCAAAGCTTAACTCGAGAAGGTCAAGTTAAGGGACCTTTTTTTTTTCTTCCACCATCAAGGTTTTTCTAGCTATGTATCTTTTAATTTTCATGTATTAAGCACTAGTAAGACCTCCACATATTTAGGAACGGAAGTGGATTTTCACTATATATGATATAACAAAATGTCAGTATATAGATATATCGTCTCTAAGCCCCATGTTTTTGTGTGTTTGTATGTATTTATACGTAGCAGATGCTTCAGTATCTTTCTTTTAGAGATGTTTAAGTTACCTAACACATATTTCATTAAATTGTACGCTCTTCACTGTGAGGCTGAAGATACTCAGATTTTAACTCAGTGGTATTTCGTAATTGTTGTTGGAGTAGGTAGAATGTTGTTATGCTAAGTAACATAAAGAAGTAGTAAATTTTGAGGCTTGAACGGGGCAGCCACTAAGCATCTCGGTGTAACAAACATTTACTACTGAGCTAGCAATGGGGATATTTCGTGAGAGGAGGCTTAAATCGATTATATAGTTTTGAATCTGGCTGAAAGCTGCTGGTTCATAAGCAGATGGGCAGCTTTAAATCATACTAGTTAGCTATATAATTTATAGCTATTGACTGGTAAGGTGAGGTATAAAACTGTAACCAAGAATCATCAATTTGAGCAAATGTAGCCAAGGATATCTGAGAGAAAAAAGTTAATTTGTGGGGGTAGTAACCAGAAAGACTATCAGATGTGGAGGAAAGGTTTCAAAGCGAGCAATTTCTAAATATTTTTTTTTAACTCACCAGGATCTGGTGTTTCCTGTGACAGCTTGTAAAGAGTCATGCATTCTGTTCAGGCATTTGTTCGTTTAAGTGTATCAATCCTACATCATTTCTCTTTTACCAGATCCCGACGCAGCCCTAACTAATAAGAACCATCAGGATGTTCGGAGCTATGTGCGGCAATTAAATGTGATTGACAACCAGAGAACTTTATCACACATGTCTCACCGACTGGAACCGCGTCGAGCATAAACATTTGAAGCCATGATGAGAAATGATCTTTTATCCTGCCAGGGTCACTTGTTAAGAACTTCACTTTCTCTGCTACTGCACTGCCACTACAAAAATAAGCAAAAACATATTCTAAGGTCTTAGGCAACGCACAATGTACCAGCCTGTCAGAGAACTTTGGCTGAGGAAGAATTTATGCACTGTAGCTGTACGGGTGGCCATGTTGTGAACTGTTAATTCATCTTAAAGTGTAGTAAATGATTTCTCATAAGGATAAAAAAAGGCAAAAGATAAAATAGAATAGTTAGTGAAAAATGCACAAAAAGCTTCTAACAATTCTAAGGGAGGTAGTGTTTTCCTCGCTAATTAAAAATCTGCATTTTATGATTTATTCTCCAGGTTAGGACCAAAACCGATCATCAGTTTAGCTTGCCCAGCTACTGTTGACCTTGGTAGAAGATGTATGTAAGCATCTGATGAAAGAACGTAGGTTCAAGAGAGGTCCAAGGTATAGTTCCATTCAGAGAAGACTTACAAGTATTTACATTAGAAATACAACAGATACCAAGACAAATTTCTAATCTTAATCGTACTGCCTACTACTGCGAGCAGTGTGGCCATTTCAGAAAACTGACAGGACTGAAAATATTTTGAATGATAAATAGATTAATCGGTGTTTACATTTTACTTCTTTTTTTAAACTACCAATCAGGTTTTTACAAAATTCCATTACGAAAGTACAGTTGTCGAAATCAATAGCATAAAGGTAGCAAAGGACTGGTTCAAAAAGAGCACAATATGCACAAACAGATTTCAAGAGAATAATTTCCTGGACATTAAAACCTTAAACTTCAGCTATAATTACTTGTGGCTGGTTAACACGCATTTTCTGGTCTTAAGCATTTACAAATATCTTAATTTTCAGCCAATTGTTTTGCACTTTCAATAGACTGTAAATAAATGTTAATTCATTATGTTCTAGAATATTTATTTATATAATAGCTATCGTGCCAAAATAATTCAGTTTTATTTATTTTGTTTAGCATGTTATGGGAGTGCAGCTTTTGTCTTTATACTTTGTGTGCGTTTTATGTGTAGGGATTGTGTGATCTATGTTTTCTGTAAATAACATGCAGTACCTTATTAAATGTAATTGCCGGAAAGGTTTAGTCGTTGGCCTGATTTGCACTTTCAGCTTCATTCCTGCATAAATACCGATGCTACTAATTGGCTGATACAGCAAACTTTGCTTGGCATTTGCTGGGCCTCAGGACCGCAGGTAGCCTACATCCACTGTGATAGGGATGACCAACGTAAAGCCGGTCGGATCCATCCCTGCCACAGGGGACGACAGTCTCGCAGTGATGTAATACTATGGTTTTACTAGCTGGTTTGTTTAGAGTGTCTAAGGAGGCCCCCTACGCCTCCCGTGTAAACACAGCAAACATTTAAATTGGAAAGGTTTAATTGAAGAAGGGATGTATTCTTCATTTTAGCTATCTGACCAATCTGTCCTGCTCGGTCACTAATGTGAGCGCTGCAAGTTCCCTTATCTTGGGCAGGATTTTGCCTCGGGTTGGCAAGCTCAAGTTGAGACCTGGGCTGATGTGGCACTCGAGAGGCCTCTGGCCTCTGTCACCCCGGGAAGGTCTATCAGGTCCTGCAGCCATGAGGGTGGAGGTGATCTGGCAACTGGTACCCTTTCCCCTGGTACCCTTTCCCCTCCGAGATGATTCGTGCTAGCCTGAACACTCCACAGGACAGCTGTACAGCTGCTGGGCAAGCACTCATGGTAGCCAAGTGTGTGCCAAGGGAATGATGACGTCCAATGGCAAAATGCTTTCCTGTTGCATTCACACTGGCTCTGCTCTGCAAAGCTGGACGTCATAAAACTGATTAAGCCTGAAATTACAAGTTACAACTATTATCTCATAATTAAGCTTCAGAGATGACCTCATTGATACAGTCTACACCTCACCTCAGACACAGAGTATACTTCTCTTGGCATTGACCAGGACTGTGTGGAGTAAGTATACACATAAAGATTTTTTTTTTTTATCTATAAAAATTATTACATCCTTTTAGTCAAAATATAAATTCTGCAAAAGCTGAGAGTCACCAGGGAAATGCTGACACACAGAACCACCATCTGCTCAGTACCTGCATTCTGCAAAGGAAAGAATTACACAGTTAAGAAATATTCTGCAGCATGATGAAATAATTTATTTCAACTTTGCCGTCTGACTCGAAGTTCAGGATGATTCAGAGGAAAACCATCTAATAACGTAGAGACAAATTCGTGTCTTACTATTTCAAGTGAGAATTATTTTCATTTGTACTGCTCCATGAATATACTTCATATGGCTTTCTCAGATACATAATCTTCCCAGAAGCAAAGTATGCAGTAGAATAAACTACAGGGACACAATTAATTTAAAAGACATTTTTATCTTTACAATCAATTTAAAACATTTGTGAGTTCATGATTTTATTTGTTCCAGATTTGTTCCTATTGTTTGGACTTTCATTTATTTCTGTGTTAACTGGTTTATAAAGCTGCCAAGTTTCAGCTTGGCTCTGCACATAGACCGATTCTTCATCCGTTTAGTATGTTTTTATCCCCTTGGTTTATTCTTTTATTCCTTAGAACCTCTAACTGTTTTACTTATTTGTTGCCAAACAGTCTCGATCGTGTAGATACATATCCAAGTGATACAACTAGAGGCTTTATGGCACCCCCATATCAACAAATGAATGCAGTTACCTACTCAATGAAACTGGAATCTGGCATTTTTTAATTTTCCAATAAAGGGTGCTGTACAAATAACAAGTGTTGCTACCTCTGTATCTAACTCATTCAAGTGGCTCAGAGAGTTGCTATGGTGCTGATCACAGTCTGCATACCTGGAGATTAAATCAACAAAACTACCTGCTGGCTCAGGGGTCTGCTGGCTTCTCTCGCTCCTCGTGTTGACTTGACAACAGGAAGGCCGCTGTCGGTGCATTGCTCTTGCAGTTGCGATATATTGCGCCTGTTGCAATACTGTGAAGAATTAATAGAACTCAGGAAACACTGAAATGTCAGAACGCCCATAGTGTCTTCACCCTGTGCTTGCAGCTGTGAGTCACAACTTGATCCTGCTTCAAGGGAGAGACCCCCTTATCTGCTGACTCTTGGGGCCAGTCTGAAGCCCGGGCTCAGCTGCTGTGCCAGCGCAGCCAAGCCAAAGAGGGTCGGGCGCTCCCCAGACCTGCACCCCAGATGGTCCGTACGGCTTTAGTGGTAGCACACTGCTTGGCCTGATTTGGGCCCGTGCCAACCAGCACTGCACGAGAGCGTCCAGCCATTATTTGTGCGGGAGCATGCAGCAGGGACCATTGCTAGTGGGAAATACAGACAAGCCTGTCTGGCCTGCCTCCGTCCCCTCCCCAAAGTCCTCCAGCAGGTCGCAGGAGGCTTCGCACCTCCATCACACCCGCTTGCATGAACAGTATCAATGCTGCAGTGCAGCCCCCTCCTTACTTCAACGCTTCAGCCTGAAAAAAATCTAAGCCTGTTCAAAATAATGATGATAATGATGTCTGAGGGTCACGGGTCGTACAATGCCGATATGGCTGGCCCGTGCTACTGGGACTCCGGCCCCAGAGCCCCTGACCCTGTTTTGTTTACTGGCAGAGCCATAGCTATGGTTTTAGATGTGAGGTGACCAGGAGGCAGTGTCCGCAACAAACATCTGCTCCTGGGGACCAGTCAGGCTGCAGACCCCATGGAGCTGGGATGGTGACACTTTGGGCATTTTGGAAAAAGTTCTGTGTTATAGGGTTCCACTACAGAGGCGGTTTTTTTCTCAAGCAGCGGCACAGAGCACAAACACCTCTATTTAGGGCTACAGAGCGCACAAACACCTCTATTTAGGGCTACAGAGCCTAAAGAGTCATGGGGTACAGCTCCCTCCCGCCCCTGGCACATTCTGCTATTGCTGCTTTGTTAGGATTTGCTGTTTATCTCAGTGGCCAGGCCTGGTGCTGGCCATCACTAGCCAGAGCCAGGGAACAAAGGTTAAATCCAGGGAGGCCGAATCCAACATACCAGGAGGCTGCTACTCTTCGATGAAGGCAGGATCCAAAATATTTTTCCCCAGACTTCTTGTTCAAACCTGATCAGCCACAAAGACGTGATGGTGCCAGATAAAAGAGTTCAAATGTATTCGTAGGACTCTGCAGACGGAAGGTTTGGGTTTTTTCCTCCTGAGGAAAATGCTGTGAAGGCACACAGCCTCTGCAGACCAGGTACAAAGAGAGAGAGAGACAAAAAAAAATCCCTCTTTTCAGAGACACTGGCAAAACAACCTTTTAAGTACAAGAAGTTTAAATATAATTTAGAAATCTTACAAAATGAGTTAGGGACAAATCAAAAGGTTTAACCTGCAGGGGTACCAAAAGAGAAATGAATTTTACTTAAAAAAAAAAAAAAAAAAAAAAAATTTTATTTTAACAAAATGTAACGGCAGAAAATTATAAGTCTAAATTGTTAACATAGCTTCTTAGTAAGGTCAACTGCATAATATACAGTACCTTAACCTCTTCCAGCAATTTTTAAACACCACGCAGCTTAAATAGACTACTTCTGAATTCAGCGGTATTTCTTCTGGGAGCTCTGAATGCAAATCAAGAGGTAATAGTGGAAGAAAATTAAAAGATGTGCTATTCTCATTTCATTTTTTGTACTGATAATAAGGAAAGCAGCATAGAGAGTGATATGGCAAAGTGAACCTCTAACTTGAATAGCTTTTCTTTCACTGTTAATCTGAAATGCATTACACCCTGCCTTTTCAAATAACCATAATGTTCTTTACTGTAGCCTGCATTAAAGTTTAGCAGGCACAAGCAGCAGCTGTCACCAGGGGTCAAGGTATTAGCAATCAAAGAAAATAATGACCAGATTAAAAAGTTATCATTAAAATTACTAAAGCAGAAACTTTTATAGCAGCTGATCTTCACCTTGAGCACAAACAGCCGGC